GCGTGGAAGGGGCGAAGGTAGGGAAACAGTGGTACGGGTGTGAATGGCGGGGATGATGCGGCTGCTGGGGTCGGGGAGGTAGGAGTGGGTTTTGAAGGGGGCCTTGGAGTGCCGCCTCCACCCGGCCCCCTAGGGGTGCACTTCCAGCGTCCACCCAGGGTAAATTCGGATCAAGTGGGAGTTACTCAAAGAGAAAGTTTGGTAAGAAGAGGAGACAATAAAAACCTCGTAGGGCCATAAATGCCTACAGACAAGGAATCCTTATCTAGGCTTGCCTGGAGTCTAGATCGTTTGACTTGCATGATTCAGCGTCTCTGGGCTCCTTACTTAACCTCAGCCCTCAACCCACTTCTCAGATCTTCTGTTTCTTCACTTAATTCTTTCCTTAGTGCAACAACATACACATGCCCACACACCTTCTTGAAGAGAAGAGGCTGGACAGGAGTTCCTAACAGCTCTCGCCAGTCAGAGCTGTAAACTTTTAATGGAATCAGCCCCAACTAGAGAAACAAAATAATCACATTCTAGTAGCTGTGTATCACCAGGCAGCGCTCTGGCAACTCCGACCATGTCTCCCACTCCTTCATAGAGAATTAGTAGTATTTCTGAGTTCTAGAATATGGGGGAGGTGGTGAGGGGGAAGGTAGAAGAGAGGACACAGAGCATTAAGAAAATACGGAAGAACTTTGAATGCTGAAGACCAGCTGTGCCGGGCTGAATTTTCTTAAAGATTTGTAACTTTATTTTTTGCCCACCCCTTATAACACACATAGGAACCCCATCTCAACCTGCGGTAGGTAAGATTCAGTAACTATGTCTGAAACACAACTGAGCATTAGAAATGCTTCAGTATTTTAAGGGAGTTCAGAAAGGAGGAAAAAGTGTCCCTCACTTCTCTAGGCCAAGTGAGGAAGGAGGACCCCAGAGTGCAGGGATTGGCCCAACCCATTGAGAAAGCACCTCAGTTTTGTCACAGGGGCCTCTGACTGAGCGTTTATGTACCTAGTTTCCTATGTTACTAAGCAGTACTTTCTTCTTGTATCTGTATTTCTGTTTACGTGAAATTGTAGGTGTATGTCTGACTGTATCTTGTGCTTCTTTGTATCAGTATATATTGTGTATATATAAGAGTCATGTGGTGAGTTAGGGGAGAAGTGAGTGAAGACTGACAAGATTGGAAGAGATTCTACTGTCAGACCCTCCTTGGGTTGCCAAGGAGGAAAATGTTCCAGAGGGAAATTAAAGCTTTGTAGGAAAAGCAGGATTGCTGGGTATGGGGACTTTTCATTTTAGTCTGACCACTCATGCAGGAGATCTTTTAGCTTAATTATTAAAACCAATTTGGGATCAAGGTCATCCAAAATTAACTTTAGAGTAGGCAATGGAGATTAAGGAAAACCTAATTCCTAAAATTAAACAAGAAGAATTTTATTCACTTTTTGCCTTAGTCATCTTTAATAAGTATTTTGGTGACTTGGAAATAAGTTAACATTGTCCTTCAGTACTGAAGATACAGAGAGACTTTTGTTAATGTTTCTTTGAAGCACCACTACCACATTAATGGAGATGAGCCATTCTTGTAAAGTATTTTATAACCTCCCACTAAAATATATACAGGAATAATGCTGATATGTAACACTAACCAAAGTACATTACACTATTATTATTTGCTTATATTGCAACTATTTGTTTTTGAAATTTCAGCATATAACATGTATTTGTAGTATTAACAAACTTGCTTTATCTTCCTACCTTACTAACCAAGATATTCTACATTGTATAGCCTTTTTAAAAACATAAAGCCTTCCATCACAGTTGTAATGGCTTTAGTCTACGTGTCATAAAGAAAAAAATTCTTAGACCAATAAGCAAAATAAATATCACTATCACATATTATCCACAAGTTCTTAGTTATATTTTTAGCTAGAGCTGAAACATATGTTTCAGATTCCGTTAAACATGAACATTCATACTTTGGACTCCAACTACTTGAAGAGGCTTTCTGAAAATTTTGTGAAAGCACTAAAGATTGACAGGGTTGGTCAAATCCCTTCCTGCCCAATCCTTAGGCCTATATTGGTGACACTCAATTAATGTTGAATGAGAACAGAATACTGTACAGGGCACAGAGAAAGCATAGCTCCCTCTTGTGTGTGAAATAGAGGATGCCACCTACAGAGAGAGGAACTCACTCATTCCTATGAATTCATTCATTCAACCCACAAGCTGATTAGTATATGCTACATGCAAGGGATACAAAGATGGAGATCAGAAGGTAATAGGGAGACTGATGTTCAAACAATTACAATCCAATATGATTATTGTGATCATGGAGGTATATTCAAAATGCAATCAGAACATTAGAGGTAGGAACATCCACACTGGCCCAATGGTGCCAGAGGAAACTTCACAGAAGAGCTAACACAAGCTGTGACTTGAAGGATGAAAAGGAGTTGCTAAGGGGTAAGAGCATTCCAGTCAGAGGAAATAGCATATTTCAATACAAAGGCATGAAGAGTTAATAGAGTATGTCAGATTCAGGGAGAGGCCAATAGATGAAGATGCAATGGTAGGTGAGATCCTATCATAAAGGACTTTGTATATGATTGTGAGATTAGGTTTTACCCAGAGCAAAGAAATAAAATGATCATTTCCTTGTTAGAGAAAAATGTTCTGGCACCAGGCAAGATAGAATAAGGCTGAACTAGGGCAGTAGGGAAGGAAACTCATGGATGGTTTCAAGAAGTGTTGAGGAGAGAAGATGGTCTAGCTTTCTGGCTTATTTTATTAATACAGTGGTGATGCCACCAAAGAGACAAGGAAAACAATAAAAAGCAGAGCATAGACAGTGAATTCAGTTTGGGACCTGTTAAATCTGAGGCATCCATGAGAAAGCCAAGCGAAAGTGTCAGTGGGGTAATTGGCCCAGGTAAGCTGTCTATCTGGAGACATATATTTGAGAAGCATAAGTCATGGGACTAGATGAGTTTGCCTAGGGAGTCATGAAGAGTACTCGAAGAAAAGAGCCAAGACAGAATCCTGGGAAGCAGAAACATTTCAGGGGCAGGAAGGACTAGCAAAGGGCTACAGAAGGAATGGCCAAAGGCAGGTGACCCAGGAGAACATGGTGTCATGGAGATCCAAGGAGAACAAGTTTGAAAAAAGAGGGAACAGTCCACAATGCCAAATACCACAGACAGGTCAAGAAGGATGAGAAGTAAAAACTTACCTTTGGATTTAGTATGTGGTAACCTAATGGAGAAGATGGGGATGGAGAGAAGCCAGATTGCAATGGGTTGAGGAGATAAAGCAATGCAAATACCAGCATAGACTATTCTTCCCAAAAGCCTAGCAAAAGAGAAAGGGGAAGAGTGAGACAAGACAGTAGCAGGAAGGGACCAAGAAGTTCAAGGGAGAGAATCCCTTCTCTTTGTGTTCCTAACATGGGAGAAATTTAAGCGTATCCTCAAGAGAAGAATCCAGTAGAGAAAGAGAAGCTGACAAGTTGCAGAGAGAATGTGGGATGACTAGGGAAAGGTGGCTGTGAAGGCAGGCAAGGATTGGACTTAGAGCCCAGGAGGAAAAGAGATACTCATTCCTCTGTAATGGAAGAATTGAAGGGTTAAGAAAAAAGCAAAATTTCATGGGAAAACCTAGGCTCAGAGCTTATGTGATTTGTCTAAAAGACAGGATTAAAACTGTTTGTCTTTTTGCCTGATACTATGCTACCCCCCAGAGATAGCATAGGAGGTGGCCAGCCTAGAAGGAGAGTGGAAGGCTGGGAGCCACAAGGTATTATAGAAGAATCACAGAATTTACAACTAGAGGGGACATGGAGATCATCATATCCAATAGCAGATGAGGAAACCAAGGACCAGGGAGGTTGTCATTTGCCTGTCTAATGTTTTAAAATAAGTGAAGAACTGGTTCCAGCCCAGAGTTCTCTCCAACATTGTCTCTCCTTATTGGATAAGGAGATAAATGGGGCAATAAGATACCCCCTCCTTCCCAATCTGGTAGCTGCTATCTATTCATGTCACTCTGTTTCAAATATTATTCTTAGTACTTTACACACACAATCTTGTCTCATACTCACAATGACCCTGTGAGGTAAACACTGTCATCCCTACTTTTTAATAAAACCAAGTGCCTGTAGAGGCAAGTAACCAAGTAACTTGCAAGAGGCAGATGCAGAATTCAAACACAGAGCTGCTTAACCCCAAACTTATTCTTTCACCATTTCACTTAACAAGACACTACCTGGCCAGACTATAAATAATGGAGCCTCCTGGGCAAACCAAGGTCCCAGTACAGATCACGCACAGGGAGATGAGCAGAGGTGGGATAACTGATTGTAAGATGAGGTAAACTCAATTGATTTCAATTATTCTAGAGTTGCCAGAGGAGGAGCCAGGGTGCTTGAGAAAGCTGGACAGACCAGTGTGGGCACTGTCAGGACTGAGAATCAGCCCTCTGATGATATCATTAGATTATATACTTAGCAAAGCTGTCTGGCCTTTGTTCCTTTGGAGGCTGAGGAGGAAAGCCAATCTTTTTGTAATCTGTACCAACTTTCACCCTTATGCCTTCACTTGACTGTAAATATAGCTCTCTTTATGTTCTGTGATCTGTCTGATTAGGCTGGAGGCCTGAGAGAGATAAAAGAGAATTATATTTCTTAAGACAGTTCCAGAGGAAGCAGAGAAGCCTCGAGGATGGTTGTGGCACTGATTTAGGGGATCTGAGGGTTAGGAAAGGTGCGTGGGGCAACAGAGATGGATTGCCATGACCTTCATTCCCTCACAGCCAAAACACAGGGAGATGGATGGCAGAGGCACAATGGAATGGCAGTAGCAGTAGAATCTGTTGAGTTCCAGAGATGAGGGAACTGGTCTGTTTTATTCTTAGCTGTATCTTCAGCACCAAGAACAGTACTTAGCTCATAGACATAAACATCTCTTGTCCTACAGCATAGGCCTGCGCCTCACAGCCCCATCAAAATGGCTGCTTTCGGACACACATTTCCCTTCTATACTGGCCTCAAGCCAATCTTCCCAATGGATACCACCTTGGCCGTCATCATTGCCATCTTTCTGACTGCACTGATCACCTTCATCATCATCCTGCCTGGCATTCGGGGCAAGATGGTGAGAAACAAACCCAGCCCTGGATACCCCAGCCCCAGAGAGACCTTGGCCTCAAGGTGAGGGGGCAAGACTCTCTGACTACAACCAGACTCAGGAAAGACTCCAGTCCCGAGAAAGTGTCACCCACCCCCCAGGAGGGAGCTCCCTACTCATTGATTCAACACATAATTATTGAGCACCTATTATGTGGCAGACACTCTGATCTCAATAGTCCAAGTGACCTCAGTTTTAGAACCCCCGCCCCCACACACCCAAGAGGAAGGGTGGATTTGGAAGGAGGGTGTTCCTTCTTAAACCCACCCACCCTGTGACTCAGAGGCTGTTTTGGCTGCTACGGGTAGTGACCAGCTTATTCATCGGGGCTGTGATCCTAGGTGAGTATAATCTTGGGCAACTGCCTCTGTCCCATCTAGTTTGCCCCACAGCCAAACTCCCCACTCCTGGTTTGCTTATAGCAACTTCTGATTCCCCGGGTGTGGGGGGTGGGTAGGAGGGGCATAAGTAGAGTGTGAACAAGGGGAGTCTTGGATTCTGACCCCTTTATTCATCTTGAGCAAACATATTATTGACAAGCTAACCATGAGCTAGACCCTGAGCTAGTTAATAGATATACAATTATGTGCAAAACAGACCTAGACCCCTTGGAGCTCTCCTGACTCTAACCCAGTAATGCCCAGATCTTCCTGAGTTCCTGTATGTCCAACTCCCCAACCCCAGCCGTGAATTTCAGTTCTGAGTGGTCCGTGGGCCAGGTCAGCACCAATACATCGTACAAGGCCTTCAGTTCCAAATGGATCAGCGCTGATGTTGGGCTACAGGTTGGGCTGGGAGGAGTCAACATCACACTCACAGGTAAGGGATGGCTCTTACCTGTGAGGGAGAAGATTCTGCTGTGTCTTTGGGATCTAGTTTGGTGTGGTCTAAAGACCTACAGGATGGGGGGATGGTAGGAAGGGAACTTTCCAGAGATTGATACCAGCTTCTGTACATCTGCCCACTGTGATGAGCCCCTACCCAGGCAAATGCACACTCTGGTCCTTCGGTTCCTGCTGAGCACACCTGTCCCATTCCTCCAGGGATCCCAGTGCAGCAGCTAAATGAGACCATCAATTACAATGAGGAGTTCACATGGCGCCTGGGTGAAAACTATGCTGAGGAGTATGCAAAGGCACTGGAGAAGGGCCTGCCGGACCCTGTGCTCTACCTGGCTGAGAAGTTCACCCCAAACAACCCATGTGGTCTGCATGGCCAATACCGCCTGGCAGGACACTACACCTCAGCCACGCTCTGGTGAGGGTGGTATGGAGGCCCTGCTGGCCTAGACCCAGGGATGGTGTTTCTATCTATCTTTCCTCCACTCATGTGGAAATCCCTAGTGGGACAGGCTGGCACCAGCCCCACAGTACTTTGTTGGGAAACCTATAGGCAGAAATCCATATCTCACATCTCTGGGTATTCTTGGGTACTTGAGCCTCCACATGGGCCCTTCCAAGTAGAGGTGTCTAGACCAACCTTCACTAGATCCCTGGCTCTCCAGGGTGGCATTCCTCTGCTGGCTGCTGGCCAATGTGATGCTGTCTATGCCTGTGCTGGTCTACGGTGGTCACATGCTGCTGGCCACAGGCATCTTCCAGCTGTTGGGACTGCTCTTCTTCTCCATGGCCACATCACTCACACCACCCTGTCACCTGCGCCTGGGCACCGCTACACTGCACACTCGCCATGGGCCTGCCTTCTGGATCACATTGACCACAGGTGAGGTCCAGCCCTGAAGACAGACACTGGAGGGCTTAGGGCCAGGGAGGGAGGGCCAGGGACCACCATATTGGTGGGGGTTGAGGGTCTGCCTCTGGGGCCAGCATGCGTTTCCTTCCTTTAAAGCCCTATCCCTCTTACATCACTCTCTGGGCTTTTTCTCCCCAGTTCCTCTACCCACCCCCATAGATGCCTACTCCCTGTGTCTTTTGTCTCTGTCGTGTCCCTCATCCCCTAACTCTCCCTTCACCCAGCTCTTTCCCAAATCTTCCAATCTTCTGTCCCTTCCTGCTTCCCCCAAACACTCTTCTCTGTGTCCTCCATTCCTAGAACGCTTCTCTTTCTCTGCCTCACATGGCCTTAAATTATCCACAAGCCTTTCTCCTCTCATGTTCTCTCATGCCTTTTCTCATGCCTTCTCCTCTATGCCTTTCCACCAGAGTTCTCTGTTTTCAGAGTTCTCTCTCTTTCTTCTGAGATGTAATTCAAAGAGCACTGGGCCTAGAATCAAAGCTCAGAACAACAGAGCCACACCAGCCATATGACCCGAAGCCGGTCACTTCTCTGAGTCCCAGTTGCCTTGAAACGAGGATACCAGCATTCCCTGAAAGTTGTTCTGATGCTCTTGCAAGAATTCCTTGGGAGGGTATAACTATCACCAAGGTGGGACACCTGTTGTCTCATCCCCAGGACTGCTTTGTGTGCTGCTGGGCCTGGCCATGGCAGTGGCCCACAGGATACAGCCCCAGAGGCTGAAGGCTTTCTTCAACCAGAGTTCAGGAGAGGACCCTACACTGGATTGGAATCCTGAAGAAGGGGGACTCCTGAGCCCCCGCTTCCGGTCCACAGCCGAGAGTCCCGAGCCCCAGGACATTCCTCTGTCAGAGGCTTCCTCTGAGACATGCTGTAAGAAGGAGCATCCCAGAGAGCCTGACTGTACCCTGTAAGGTTCTTCTCCCTGGTGGCCATCCGGACTTCCAGTCTGGTTCCAGATCTCACTGGAGCCTCATAAACCTGCCAGAACTGACAGCGGGATGGGTTGTTTCATGCCCCAAGCCCCAATCTATAGGTGGAGAAGGAAAAAGAGGCTTTTCCTACTGATGTTAAAAAAAACAAAACAAAAAGCCCTAATATGCTGAACAGACACAGGAGCTTCCCATAAACCCTGTCTCCATGGTAAGACCTAGCAGGTGCTGCCAGCAACCCTGCCTTCCCTTGATGCCTTGCCTCTTTGAGGTGCCATTTATTAGAACTCAGCTTCATCTACATTGTGTGTATGTGTGTGTGTGCATGTGTGTTGGGGAGGTTACAGTGTGATACCTTTACGGTCTCCCCTATCCCTCTTGTTTTCCTTTTTCTGGGTCCCTTTTGTTCTTCTTTTACTTCCCCAGCTTGTGTGATCTCTCGATACAGTGAAAGTCCTGGGTGAGAGAAGAAACCAAACTTCTTGTCCCAGGATATCAAACACGTGTGCTACATTATCTTTAAGCTTCACTTCCCAAATTTGCTAAATAAGATTGTAGGTCTTGCCAAGGACTTAAAAACGAATCCCAGGATTTACATTTTTATGCCCTGCCGACATCTACTTTAGTTAGCCCTTAGATACCACCTCTTAGTGAGGTGGAGTTAAACTCCATAAACTGGAGTTAGTAAATGATCTAAAAAATGCCATTCCCTCCAGGTCCACTCACCTGGGCCAATGAAGGGGGAACCCACTGGGCCAGTGGGATGGTGACCTGCCTGGTCACTGCTACCTACCATCCACCTGGGGCAGCTCAGGAAGATACTGGCTCTGGTGGGTTCCCCTTTGGTCACTAGAGGGCGCGCCTCTCCCAGAGCCTTGTGGCAAGGCAGCGAGAATGGACTTGGCTGCTTCCAACCCAAGGAAGTCCGCTGAGGACTCATATTCCCCAAGCCTGGGAAAGCGATGAAATGTAATGGAAACAAGTTTAAAAAAAAAAAAAGGAAAAATATTTATTTACAGGTCACTCTAGGAGACTCCCCCACCCCCATCCCTGCGTTTCCCTGGTGGCTCCCCACCCCTTCCAGGGCAGTGACTTTCTTGGAACTCTTCTGGCCCAACCCCAGCCAGCATTGCTACCCGGCTTGCAGGGAACTGAGGTGGAGTAGCAATCTGAGGTTGAGTCCCCCTCAAAGTTTAGTATTGGTCGTTAAGTCCAGGGCTCCAAACTGCTTATGCAGTGGGTTGTTCAGGATGAGAAGAGAGCTCCCTTTCTCCTGGCTACCGTAGTCCTTGACGCTTTGGTCCAAGAAGGTGCGAAGCGCACTGGGCCACGAGTAGTGGAGACTCACCACCGCCACTCCAAGCAGGAGGCACAGGATGCCTGCCACAGCGCCAACGGAAGGAAACAGGGTAGTCAGGGCTCCAAGCCAGTATCTGGCCTGCCCCCCTCCGTCTCCTGTGCGCTACCTCTTACGTTTCCTCCCCCAACACCCAGGGCAGAAACACCCCTAATACGGATTACTTGGATACACAGTTTCATGTGCTAACTGGGGCAAGATACTGAACCCCTCAAGAACCCCCTCCCCTCATGTGTAAAACGGGTATAACCGCACCTGCTTCTAGGAACTAAGAGGAGGAGATTAGATAGTATGTGTGAACTCGTTTTGTTGACTGTAAAGCACACACCAGTATAAATCCAGTCCCCACCCCAGCCTCCCGGAATCTGCCTCCTTGGTCCTCACCGGTGGCCAAGGTGACCCAAAAGGCAGCGCCATAGTGAGTGGTGAGAGCGGAGGAGCCGAGACGGAGAGGGCAGAGCTGCACGCTGGAGATGGAGGCGAAGGCGAAAATAGAGAAGAGCGTGAAGGCACCGGTGGTCAGGAGCGCCAAGCCTCCGTAGAGCGGAACCGGCATGGACAGCAGCCCGTTGGAGAGGAGCCAGAAGCAGAAAGCCACCCTGCGGAGGGGATACACCGCGCCGTGAGCTGGGCTGCCCCAGCCTCGCTTCTTCTCCGCCCCTACCCCAGACGGAAAGCGGGGCTGGGGCGGCGGAGGCGCAGGGGAGTGGCGGGCGTCCGGCCTCTGCCGGCTCTCCGGGTTCGCGCGGTCTGTGCGCAGGACCTCGTGACTTTCTGTCTCGAGAGGCGGAAATTCTCACTTCCGGCCCTGTGGGGCCCCCCACCCCGCCACCCCCTCCCTCCCTCGGCCACGCGTGCTTCTCTCCAGCGCTCACCACAGCGTGGCCGAAGCATAGTGGCCCGCCCGGCGGTACTGGCGGTAGAGCCCGCAGGGGCTGCTGGGGGTGAACTTCTCCGCCAAGTAGAGAACGGGATCCGGCAGCCCCTTCTCCAGCGCCTCCCAGTACTCCGCGGCGTAGTTCTCGCCCACGCGCCAGTTAAAGTGTTCGTTGTAGTCTATGGTCTCGTTCAGCTGCTGCACCGGGGTCCCTGCGGAGGGAGGATGAGCGGCAGAGTCACGCAGCTGCGCGCAGCTGGGGACCCCGCAGCTGAGCAAACACGGACAGGAAAGTGGAGGTGTGAGAGAAAGCAAACTGTTTGGCAGCGGTTGGGGAGAGCACAGCTCCGAAAGGAATAAACTCTTTGAGCCTGTGGGGTCCGAGATTTCCTCCGGATGTCCCTGCCACACTCCCCCAACCATGGGGTCCGCCAACAGGAGTTCACTTTGCCCCAGCCCCCCCTCACCTGTGAGTGTAATATTAATTCCCTGCAGGCCGACGTGCAGACCAACATGGGCTCTGACTCGTGCTGCGCTGAAGGCCTTGTAGGATGTGTTGGTGCTCACTCCACCCACCGACCACTGTGCGCTGAAGTGCACGGCTGTGGGGAGAGGCTCCGTGTGAGGGGAGGGGAGGGAGGGAGAGAAGTGGGGACATGGAATGGGGAGGGCGATGATGGCAGGTAGGATGAAGTGCAGAGAGGTGGGGGGGTCTAGGGTCCAATGTGGTATACATGGTAAGGGTGTAAGACTGGGCACTAGAAAGAGCTGCAGAATGGAAAGAGGGAACAGGGCACGAACCTCCAATCTCCATTTTCCCAGGTGCCCTCTGCCCACCTCCAGCCTCACCCAGGTCCTCTCCCCACCTGCTGCCCCACACACTCACCCACAATTTCTGCGCCTATGAAGAGACTGAGAAGAACTCTCACCAGCCAGAACCAGCGCTGCAGGAACAGGCATCTGGGTCAGGCCCGGTAACGGCTGGGCTAGAGTCCCCAAGACCTCCTAGATCTCTAGTGCCTTGGAAACTGTCCCCTCTTGTGCTACACCTTTTTACCAGTTCCATTCCTGATGTTTTGAAGCAGAAGTCAGTTTTGTTTTTGTACAAGTTCCTCTGAGCCATTGCCATTTCTGAAGTTTTCTAGCCATGCATGTCGGCTGCCCCAGTCCCATTTCCCAGTGCACCCCACAACATGGCTTTCTGCCTGGTGCTAGCCCGCCACCTTCACCCGCCAGCTATCTGGCTCCTGGTGCTGGTCATGCTGGCTAGTTGAGTCACTGCTATGGTGAGGCTCAGTGAGTCCAGAAGTGGGTCATGGGGTCATCTTCCCCAGGAGAGGGTGGTTCCAGGGTCCTGTCACCACATAGAGGAGGTGGGAATGCAACCTCTCAGATATTCCTAGGTGCACCAGTTTCCCAAGGAAACCAACACAGATCAAGACTGAGGGAGGCTAGAAACTTGTAGACTTGAAAAACAACTTAGGTTCTAGGAGAAGCGGGGCAGGGGAATCCAAGGAAAAGTACCCAGTCTGCTATAACTTTGAATCCTGTGTGGGAGTCTCTGAGCCCTTAGGATGGGAGCACTCATACACTTACACCTCTATGCAGCAGACAGTGAAACACAGCAGTCTCAGCTGCTGGTTTCTGTCCTCTCGGTCTGCCAATCATCGAGTCATCACCTGAAGGCTGAGATTGGAGTGCAGCCACGGTCTCAGGGAAGGAGGAAGACTCCACCAGCATGGAAGACTAGAATCAACCCCAGGATTACTGGACTGGGCACTCACTCTCTGCAACAGCCTCCTGAATGATCCAGGTGGGGTCAGTTTCTAGGATGTTTTGCACAGAGCCTCAACCTCCCCCAGTCCTTGGAAAGACATGCCTGCTGCCCTAGACTTCTGTGTGCTCCACCTATGCTCCTCTGGGTCAGTGTTTCAGTCTGACTATCCATGGAAGCATTTGCTACCATATTACCTGTCCTAGTTCATCCAGAGACAAGCTGCCCACGACCCCCAGGCCCTAGCATCTAGCACCCCCTTACCGAGTGGCCACGGATCCCAGGCAAGATGAGCAGGAAGCTGGCAGCCAAGGCCAAGAACACCAGAATGACGATGAGCAGTGGGACGCTGATGCCAGGAGCATGCCGGGGCTGGGGGTAGAAAGGCAGCTCACCATTCCACAGAGTCATGCTGCAACCTGGCCAAGCTGGGTTCGCTGGAGTGGGAATAGCAGGTACCTGGCAACCGAGGCTGGGCCCCACTTCTCTTTGTCCGGTCCCCTGCGTTCTTGGACAGGACTCAATGGGCTGGTCAAGCCTGAGCTCCTAACTTTCCCCTAAAGAAGTGCAGCGGCTGGCTGCCTTCAAGTGCTCTGGATTGGCTGGAGCAGGGTTGGGTAGGTGAAGGAGAGGAGTTATTTCTCACTAGCTGTAACCAGTTATGTTCAAGGCTCTGCGGGTTTGCTCTGTGTTTAGAAGTGGTGTGGGATCTGGACCCCTTTTATAGCAGCCTGGGCAGCTTGCTGGGTGATGTCAGGGCTTGGCAGCTGGGTGTGACTGGGAAGAGAACTTGCAAATAAGGGGCGGAGGTTGCTATGCAAATGAGAAGAGCCCTGACTCCACGGCAAGAGGGCTAGCCTCCCCGTCCAGATGCGCATTCTTGGCACTAGTCTGACCTGAGCGGACACCAGGGCAGCTGGCCTTTGGGGATCCAGAGAAGAAGGTGAGAGATCCCGGGAGGCTGGGGATCTTCAGAGCTGGGAGGGGAGGGGTGCTGCGTTGGGAAGGTAGAGACAGAGAAGAGAGCAGAGAAGCAGATTCCAAGAGGAAAGACTTCTGACTCAGATGGGAGCCCTAAACCAGAGGTTGGATTGCAGTTTGGGGCCTGATCTCCCCAGCCCTCCTGTCCTTGCACAGGCATTCATTGCAGAGTATCAAGGGCTGCAGGTTGGGGATTCCTAGCAGATACTATGGGGTTGGGGATGGGGATTCAAGGCTTGGCAGGGAGGAAGCCTGGAAGGCTGGAGGTAAAGTTCTGCCTGGGGCTGACAAACCTCAGAGGACTAGTGCCCTGTGGGTTCCTTTGATTAGGGTTAATTCTTCCACTAGGTGGAAAGTAGGGACCGGCATCAGTGCCTACCAGATGTTCTGAAAAGAGCAACGTGGGGATGTGAGTCCTTAGTGATGCTCCTAGAAGTTTGCTCCAGAAGTGAAAACAGCTGGCACCTCCTCCCGCTGTGTGGGCTGTAGATATGAGGGACACTCGCTCCTTGTCCCTCACGGATCACCTCCCACTTCCCAGGCAGCAGGGTCAGCATGCTCTGTGCAAGGCCAGAGGCGGTGGTGCTCCTGGGAGCTCTGCTGACTACATCCCTGGATCCAGCGGGTAAGCATCCGGTGCCCCTAGCTTAGCGAAGTCGCCCGGTACCTCCTGCAGGAGGAGGAAGTAACAGATGCTGGCAAGCTGCAAGATCGGTCAGATCACAGCGCGGCTCAGCAGGATGGGACACTTCCTAGCGCAGCTTCAATGCCAGACGGTGTCGCCTCTTGGGTAGGATTGGGGGCACTCTGTGAGCGTGAGAAGCGCGGACGGAGGCCGCCAGGTCCCGGAGTGGTCGCCGGGAGGCTAGTGCTGAGGGGACCGCTCTCTGCCCCACAGGCGGCCAGGACTCAACTGCACTGTCCTGGGAAGTGCAGCGCTACGACGGCTGGTTCAACAACCTGAGGCATCACGAGCTTGGCGCAGCCGGTGCGTCCGGTGGTCCGGGGAGGGGGAGGGGGAGGGTGGCTGGTGCGGAGAGAGCGGACGGAGAGAGCGCGCCGCCAGCCGCCCGGCTGTCTGTGCGGCGAACTCCTATGCACTCCCGGGCCCAGGAGACCCTGACTGAAAGGGGTCTCGTCAGTGAGACAGGCGTAGAGAGAGATTTGTGGGCTTTTGGGGCCGGAGTGCCCTGACAGAACCCCGCTCCCTCCTTCCCACAGGCTTCCGACTGCAGCGCCTGGTACCGGCCAATTACGCGGATGGCGTTTATCAGGCTCTGGGGGAGCCGCTGCTGCCCAACTCGCGCCGACTCAGCGACGCCGCCATGCGGGGCACAGCCGGGCAGGCCTCCCGCCGCAACCGCACAGTGTTGGGGGTCTTCTTTGGTGAGAGCAAAGTCGGAGAACACTGGGGTTGACCAGTCACTTGGCGCCTCCGAGAGACGCCCTGCAAGGGCACAGGAGACTGACCCAAGACTCCCAGCCATCTCCTCCTCCTCACTAAGCTACACTTCCAGGCGGTTTTTATCTTGGGGGATTTGGGGGTGTCGATTTAGGGATATTTACTTCCCTAATCTTTCTCTTACCCTTTACTGCAAACGCAGGAGTATCACTAGACCTCCATTAAAGCTCTTGGGAGCTGAGTCCCCGGCCACCCCCCTCCTATTCATATGATTATATCCCCTTTCCACCGAAAGAGAAAGGGGGAGGCAGGATCCGGTGGGAGATGGGGATTGGTCTGGGGGAGCCCTTATCTTAATTATATTTTTTTGGATTCTCACACCAATGTTCCGTGGAGACGGTACTATATCCCCACTTGAAAATTAGAAGAAAGACCCGGAGCTGGTACTACAACATGTCTTTGACTCTTGAGAAACAAAGCGACACTCCCTGCCCACGGGGAGTGTCCATTCTCATCAGTTTGGCCCCCATTGCGGACAGGCTACCACGTGCTGTCCGACCTGGTGAGCGTGGAGACACCTGGCTGCCCCGCCGAGTTCCTCAACATCCACATCCCTCCCGGGGACCCGGTGTTCGACCCCGACCAGCGCGGGGACGTGGTCCTACCCTTCCAGAGGAGCCGCTGGGACCCCGAGACCGGACAGAGCCCCAGTAACCCCCGGGACCTGGTGAGACGAGGCAGGCGGGGTCGCGGGGTCGGGGCCTGGAGGGCCGCGCGGGGGAAAGCCTCCGCCCCCCACCCCCCCACTCCCCACCGCCGCTCGGCTGGCCCTGGCGCCCCCGAACCCGCCTCAGCGACTCCACCTGCAGCTTCCCCTGGGCTCACCCTCCCGGTGCCCCCGCAGACCAACGAGGTGACGGGCTGGCTGGACGGCAGCGCCATCTATGGCTCCTCGCACTCGTGGAGCGACGCGCTGCGCAGCTTCTCCGGGGGGCAGCTGGCGTCGGGGCCCGACCCCGCCTTCCCCCGCAACGCGCAAAGCCCCCTGCTCATGTGGACGGCGCCCGACCCCGCCACGGGACAGCGCGGGCCCCGGGGGCTGTATGGTGAGGCCGCGGCGCGGGGCGGGGCGGGGCGGGCCGGGCCGGGCCGGGGAGCAGCGAAGTCGCGCTCCCGGTGGTCACACGGCCGTGCGTCTCCTCCCCTGCTTCCCTCCGTGGCGCAGCCTTCGGCGCGGAGCGAGGGAACCGCGACCCCTTCCTGCAGGCGCTGGGCCTGCTGTGGTTCCGCTACCACAACCTGTGCGCGCAGCGGCTGGCCCGCGAGCACCCGCGCTGGGGGGACGAGGAGCTGTTCCAGCACGCGCGCAAGAGGGTCATCGCCACCTACCAGGTCAGTCCGCACCCCTTCCCTTGGCGACCCTCACCCGCTGCGCAGAGCCCTCCATCCTCCGACGGGCAGCCCCCAGCAATGCCCTTTTCCGGGAGGGCACTGCTCCCCAGAACTGGGGCTAGCGCCTCGGCGTGGACCCTGAAGAGGATGGGGAGGCAAAGCGCTATTATACGTGAGACTTTGCTGTGGATATTATGTAGCCGCCCTCGTCTCCCATCCCGTTTTCCTTGTGGGCGACGGGTCTCTGCACCTGTCCTGTCTGAGTTCCCTCCGTCGTGACCGCCCCTGCCTAACCCTCATCTCTCACCGAAGCCTTCCTTGGGCTCGGGTCCCTCCCAAGGCGGCTGCTCTACTTGCCTCCCTTTTGCCTTCTCTTGCCCCTCAGAACATCGCTCTGTATGAGTGGCTACCCAGCTTCCTGCAGAAGACACCCCCAGAATATACAGGTACAGGAGTTGAGGGAGACACCGAGACTACAGGGGTGGAGGTGGGGAAGGGCAGATCAGGATCCATGGGGGAGAGAAGATAGGTAGGTGCATGTGATGAAAGGATGTGATAAGGGAGTCAATTTCTCTTATTATCCCTGTTGGGCAGGGTACCGTTCTTTCCTGGACCCCAGCATCTCCCCAGAGTTCCTGGCGGCCTCTGAGCAGTTCTTCTCCACCATGGTGCCTCCTGGCGTCTACATGAGGTGAGGGAGAGGCTGGCAGTGGAGGAGGCATAGCACACTGCCAGAGGTGAAGAATCAACTGCCATGGGAGCCTGGGGCCTTTTATACACCTCCACAGTTTAATGGGAAAGAGAAGCAGAATTTGGAACCCTGAAATAGGACCCTGGGGTAGGAGTTTCAAACTTAACAACTCCTCCTGATGGCTGACCTTTAGTTGCTGAGGGCAGGACTTGTCTAGCAGCTGGGTTATTCTCTTTGCTCCTTTCCTTCCCACTCTATGTGGACAAAGAGCAACCCATACCTTCAATCCACACACATTGCCAAATCCCTGCTATGTTCAAAGAAGTTCAGCCCTCCGTCCTGCCCAAACCTTTCTGAGTCCCTCACCCCACTCAACCCCATGTCAGCCTTTTCCCTGAGCTCTCATCTCATTCTTGATTCCCCATTTCAGAAATGCCAGCTGTCACTTCCAGATGGTCCTGAACCAGGGTGTCGGCAACTCCCCAGCTCTTAGGGTCTGCAACAGCTACTGGATTCGGGAGGTCAGCCTGGGGTCCGGGTCAGGGGAAAGTGAGTCTTGACACACAGGCTGGGGAAAGCAACCATTCCAGTTGCTTTTTTGGGTGTTGCTTCTCCAGATAGTAGATGAGAGAAAAAGTGATCAGAAGGTGGGGCGCCCCGGGGGGTTAATTGGTTAAGTGTCCTACTGTTGATTTTAGCTCAGCTCATGATCTTAGGATTCCTGAGTTTGAGCCATCAGGCTCTGTGCTGACAGCATGGAGCCTGCTTTGAATTCTCTCTCTGCCTCTCCTTCCCTCTCTGCCTTTCTCCTGTGCTCTCTCTCTTCTCTCAAAATAAATAAATAGCTTTGGAAAAAAAAACCACTTAAGAAAATTATCTGGAGACAACAGCTCAGGAGTCTAGGACTAGCCAAGGGCCCTTAGACTTGAGGTGCTACAATGGTTCAGGACGACAGGTACCAGGCTTTGGGGAGAGGCCAAATGTGTTGTTTATTTCCAGAACGCGAATCTGAACAGTGCCCAGGCAGTGAATCACCTGCTGCTGGGAATGGCCTCCCAGATTTCGGAGCTGGAGGACAGGATAGTGGTTGAAGATCTAAGGGGTGAGCTTGGGAGCTCAATGGGATAAGGGTCCAGAGGCTTGGGAGCCTGGGAACCCCTCTGGGTTAATCAACAGGCAGACCCTAGGGTACCTACAATGCAGGAACACAGATATGCATACTACAAATAGCCATTAGAAGAAAAAAAGCTTGTAACTTTTTCTTGTTTAAGTTTAATGTTGTTTTTATTCTAAATAACCTATGTCTGTGTATGTAGGGGGATGGGTGACACCACAATCTCCTTGATAGTTAGGTCTCCAAAGCTTTTCATCCAGTCCTGACTTGAGGCCAAGGATCCTGGTAAAGGACAGGGACTTTACTACTTGGTGACTAGAACAGTCTTGAGTCCCAGGGGAAGATTCTTGCCAGAAAAATTTCCCCTGTTCATACATGGTAACACTGACCCTACTTGGAGGCAAGGTTGATATGGACACAGGTCATATGTTGGAAGTTCTGGGGGTGGGTAGTGCCAAGAACCTAATTCAAGACTGTTGAGCAAAGAGGGGTCAGAAGGATTCAGCCTATAGCCTGGTTCTCCCTCTTTCTCAGATTATTGGCCTGGCCCTGGCAAGTTCTCCCGCACAGACTACGTGGCCAGCAGCATCCAACGTGGCCGAGATATGGGGTTGCCCAGCTATACCCAAGCCCTGAAGGCATTGGGATTGGAGACCCCAAAGAACTGGAGTGACATCAACCTCAATGTGAACCCCCAGGTGAGAAATAGTAATGACAGCAATAGCAGCTATAACTTTCTTGTTTTAAGATCTGTACACTTGTAACTCATTTAATCTATATCAAGAATGTTACAGGGCAGATACTATCATTATCCTTATTTTACCAATGACATGGTTGCTAAATCAGTCACAGAGACAGTATTTAAACTTAGTCATCTGATTCCAGAGTATGTTTCTCACCACCACATTGTACCATCCCTACAGGGTGGCCTCTGTGTTGGGTGCCATTGTCCTATTCCTGCAGGGTCCTTTCTCATGAATTGGGTGACCTTGAAGCTGCTAATTACTGGGACAGATAGACTGGGTGGTGGTGGTCACTGGATATGGCCCACAGGCACCTAGCAGTGCTCTCACCATGGGCAGGGACACATGGGTCTTCCCACCAGTCTCGCCACCTCCTGAGGGGGACTGCCTAGGAAAAGTAGGCTCCTTCAGGCCTGAGCAGCAAGCCAAGCAGCTGATGGAGTCCCCCGTTTAAAGGATGGAGCCGTAGTGGCTGCCCTCCCCACCATACGCTTGCACATACACACATGTACACACACATATTTCTCACCCCAGGTGCTGGAGGCCACAGCTGCCCTGTACAACCAGGACCTGTCCCAGCTGGAGCTGCTCCCTGGGGGGCTCCTGGAGAGCCACGGGGACCCCGGGCCCCTCTTCAGTGCCATCGTCCTTGACCAGTTTGTGCGGCTGCGGGATGGTGACCGCTACTGGTTTGAGAACACCAAGAATGGGTAAGGCCTTCATGAACCTCCTCCTCAGATTCCACCTTGGCCCAGAGCCCCAGGCCCCCTGCCTGGAAGCAGCCCCATGGGCCTTGGATTCCCATGGGCCTTACCTCCTCTTTAATCCCTCTGGGTCTCTTTCCTCATCTGAGTCCCTGGGCCCAAGATTGCTGGAGGCTGGAAGCCCCTTCTCATCCCAACAGTTCCTGGCTTTCTCCAACTTAGGCTGTTCTCCAAAGAGGAAATTGCAGAAATCAGAAACACCACTTTTTGGGATGTGCTAGTGGCTGTTACCAATGTGGACCCCAGTGCCCTGCAGCCCAATGTCTTTATCTGGCATGATGGTGAGTGGCAACCAGAGAAAGGACCAACGGTGGGGAGAGTCGCTTGGTGCTGTCCAGGGAAGCAGGTGCCAGGCAGCCTCTTCTGTGTGCTGCTGGGAAGCCTGCTTTAGGCTGCCTCCCCCATTAAGTACTGGACTGCTTTGCAGGCTGCACTCTGTGGCCAAACTGGGGTAGGTACTGAGAACAGGATATGGAAGGGGTTTTTTTGAGGGGAACAAACTCCAGAGAGGTGGGCCTGGGAAGGAGAAGGGTGCATGGTCCTTTACAGGAGAGAGGGGAAGGGTGCCTGGCCAATGAGTGAGATCGTCAGACTTTGAGGTCTTCTGTCCTCTCCCTCAGGTGCGCCCTGCCCTCAGCCTCGGCAGCTCACAACTGAAGGCTTGCCCCGCTGTGTGCCCCTGACCGTGACTGACTACTTCGAAGGCAGTGGTCCTGGTTTTGGCATCACCATTGTGGCTCTCTGCTGTCTTCCGTTAGGTGAGCACTTCACACCTTCACCTACCCCTTTCCTCTTGGCTGCCCCCCTGCCCGCATACTGTCCCTGCCCCTCATGACCTGCTGGTCTGTGGGACTAGCTCTTCGCGACAGTCGAAGCCAGGCTCAGGGGACCTTGTGAAGGGAGGGGCGACAGCACCCTCAGTGAAGCTGCAGGCATGAAGCACCCCTCCCCATTGGCTCCTTCTGATTCTTTGCAGTAAGTCTGCTTATCTCTGGGGTGGTGGCCCATTTCCGGGGCCGAGAGCGCAAGAGGATACAGAAGAAAGGCAAAGAGAGTGTGAAGAAGGAACCAGCCAAAGATGGGCTGTCAGGTGAGATGGAGTTGAGGGGAGGGAGGGAAATGGGGCCCAGAGAAGGGCCCCTGGGAGAAAAAGCAGGTTGCAGATGTGGGGAGAAAGCCAGGCTTTGGGGTGCCTGCTCAGAGTGGTAGAGTGGAATTGGCTTGAGGTCAGGGACCTGGGTACCTCTGCTGAATGTCTCTGCCCAATCGTCCCTTCCCCAGCGATGGAGTGGCCAGGCCCCAGGGAGAAGAGCTATCCCATTACCATCCAGCTGCTCCCAGACCGATGTCTACAGGTCCTGGACAGGCGGCTGTCTGTGCTCCGTACCGTCCAGCTGCAGCCCACACAGAAGGTCAACCTCATCCTGTCCAGCAACCGTGGGCGCCACACCCTGCTCCTCAAGATTCCCAAGGAGTATGACCTGGTATGGCCAGCCCGCCTCCCCTCCTTGGAATGCTCCTGTATCTCCTCTCTCAGAGCAAGGCCTGTCAGCTCACGTACAGAGCTCCCCTGTGAAGATGATGCTGGGGAAAGGCTCTCCTTTCAGCTGTCCCCACACTCCATGTGACCCTCCCTCTGACCTGCTCGAGCCACTCACTTGGTTCCAGCTTGGATGCACTGGGGGGCAGCTTTTCTCACCTTCCCTCAACTTACGGTCCTTTGAGGTGAGGCTGAACCAGAGCCAGAGCTCCGAGCACTGACACGGGCTTGCTCTTTTTTAACCCAGGTGCTGCTGTTTAACTCTGAGGAGGAGCGGGGCACCTTTGTCCAGCATCTGCGGGACTTCTGTGTGCAGTGGACTCTGGGCCTTGAAGTGACTGAGATGGGAGAGAATGAACTATTCAGGAGGGCTGTGACCAAGCAGCAGCGGGCGTGTATCCTGGAGATCTTCTTCAGACACCTCTTTGCCCAGGTGCCATAATTGTGTGTCTCAAAGACCAGACCTGGCCCAGGGTTGGAGGGAAGCTGGGCTGGACAGGATCCTGCATGGGGTAAACTAAGTTTCTGGTCTGTGCGCTGGAGATAGACAACGTCGATTGAATCGTGGTGTTGCCACTCACTAGCTGCATGGCTTTAGGCTGGTCACACCATCTCTGCTCTGTATGTCCATTTCTTCATCTGTCAAATAGTGATTAAAATAGGAGCCATTGGCATTCCCAGATATCCCCCATATAGAAAATGAAATGAAATAAAATAAAAGTAATAGGATCTATCACCTTGGGTTGTTGTGAGGATTTAATGAGATAGTCTACATCAGTGGTTCTCAAAGTATGGCCCCTGGACCAGTAGCAGCCATCTCACCTGGGAATTTGTTAAAAATATAAATCCCCAGGGGCGCCTGGGTGGCTTAGTCGGTTAAGCGTCCGACTTTCGCTTAGGTCATGCTCTCGCGGTTCGTGGGTTCAGGCCCCACGTCGGGCTTTGTGCTGACTGCCAGCTCAGAGCCTGGAGCCTGTTTCGGTCTGTGACTCCCTCTCTCTCTGACCCTCCCCTGCTCACGCTGTCTCTCTCTCTCTCTCCTAGAAATTAAAAAAATAAAAATAAAAAAATATATATAAATCCCCAATACTCTCCACCAAACCCAGTAAATCAGAAACTCTAGGGTTGGGGGCCATAAGCTCTCCACGGGGTTCGGAAGTTTGAAAAACACTCTTCTATGTATAGGATTTAGTCCAAGTGCTTGGTACATTATAGGCCTTTAACAAATGGTAGTTACACGTATATGACTTTTAAAATCTTTGCACAGTGCGCAGAGACCAAATCAGGCACATGGCAGCCCTGTCTAAATTGACAAGAGAGTAAATATATCCCTAGCCTCTTCCTGCCTGTCCACCCCTGTCTACTTCACCTCTGTCCCCGGTATAGGCTCTCTCATTTTGCATTTTGAATCCCAAACTTTGTCCTCTCCCATTTCCACCCTTCATCTATAGACCTCGCACCATTCCTAACATATAAAGCTCGTGTATCTTGGGTCCAGGGAGAAAATCCAGAGAGATCTGATTCACCTCCTCAGAGGCCCAAGTCAAAAGTATATCTGAGGACCAGGAGAGATACAAGGACTCACTCTTTCTGAATTGGACTTTAAGGAGATGTGAAAGGTCACTGAACTGAGTTCAGCCCAGGCCTCACCTCCTTTTCTCCTTTCCTCTGCTGCTGCCCAAGTGCAGGTGCTAGACATCGACCAGGCAGACGCAGGGACCCTGCCCCTGGACTCCTCACAGAAGGTGCGGGAGGCCCTGACTTGTGAGCTGAGCAGAGCTGAGTTTGCTGAGTCCCTTGGCCTCAAGCCCCAGGACATGTTTGTGGAGTCCATGTTCTCTCTTGCTGACAAAGATGGCAATGGCTACCTGTCATTCCGGGAGTTTCTGGACATCCTTGTGGTCTTCATGAAAGGTAGGGGGAGAGTGGGCCACTTCAGGAACCAGCAGTCTTTCAGCACAGAGATGACCTCCATCCTCCTTTCTCTTCTCAGGCTCCCCAGAGGACAAGTCCCACCTGATGTTCACCATGTATGACCTTGATGGAAATGGCTTCCTCTCCAAGGATGAATTCTTCACCATGATGCGGTATGAGTGGGCCCTTCCAGTTCTGACACTCCCTGATGTTTGAAACAAAGTCATATCAGAGGGGGTTAGATGAGGAGGCTATGTGGCCATCTATTTTGAAAAGTTGCCTAGATACTGGATTCTAGATGCTCAGAGCATCTAACTTCATAAGTTTATCTGACCAGGCCCCTGCCTCCAAGAGGGTCTATTATCTGCACTGTCTACACCAGCCAGAAAATTCTCCCTCCCTAGTTAAAAACAAACAACAACCACTAAGCCAATATGACCAATACCAAAAGTCTAGTATTCCTTTTGGATGCCTTTATCAACTCTTCTACACCATACCTAACACTGTGCTTTATACCCTGAAATAATGGATGGAAGAAGGATGACCTTTGTCACTCTTCCTGTATTAATCACCAGGACATGAAGAAGAAACATGGAAAGATCCTCTATATTCCAACACTTCTTTCTTCCTGCTTCTTAAGCAGGTTGTGGTCTGCTGACAAAGACCAGCTTTGAGTGCGTAGACTTCTTATTCCTGAAGACACTGTTCTGGTAACAGTGAAAGTCCTCTTCAGCTCCATAAGGACAGGGCTCTTCTCTTTTGTTTCTCACTAAATCCACCTCTTCTGCATTGTGATTCACACATAGCAGGAATTCAATACATACTTAACTGAATCAGGTGGTATAAATGAGCAAATGAATAAACAAAATGCATAAAACTGCAGAGTCTTTTACCTTTTCTACCTTATTTCTTTCTGTTACTTTCCGCATTCCCCCTAACTGCCACATCCCTCTTCAGCCCAGACACTGCAACTGGACATGGGCTTCTAAAAGACTAGGGTGAAGCTGATTGCAGTCCACCCTTCACCGGGTGTGCCATTGCAGGCCCAGACTTGGGTGAGGCTCTAGGGATCTAGGAGAGGGTCTCTGTCCACCAGGGCCAAGCATCCACTTTCTCTTCCTGTACTCAGTTGTAGATCTGGCCCAGTCTCACTTGGATGATGTGTTTTTTTAATAGGCTTGCTATGCCAGGCACACACAGGTCTTTTTTCTTTCGGATTCACACAAACATGGATGGTTGGCTTGTTTTTGTCCCAAAGCACAACCTAAGAAAAGAGTATGGCCACTCTGGGTGCTATGAGATTGGGTGTGGAGACACTACTGCCTGTGCCCCGTGGCATTGGCACAAGGAAGCAGCAGCCATTGTAGCCACATCTCCTCCCCCCCCAACACCCAGGGTTCTGTGCCCCCACTGGACTATGAGAGGAGGAGGCCAGTGGCAGCGTGGGATGCATTAACACAAGAGAGTGGGCAGAGACCCTGCCACATAAGAAGCCCATGGTCATCTGCACATGTCCCTACCGTAAATGGACATTGATCCCACCTTACAATGCCCTCTAGTTTTGAGGGCTGCTTTCTCTAATTGGTCAAGGTCACTTTCAATTTCAAACCTGTGGCTACCCCACCCAGCTTAATGTCAACTACAGGCTGGATGAACACCTTCTCAGTGCCATTTCCTGGGTCACTGGTAACCACATTAGATAATCTGGGGCCCGCCCCACCCTGCACTTGCCTGAACCTGACCTTGCTGGATGACAGACTGCTGTATGTCTCCTCCTCCCCCAGGTCCTTCATCGAGATCTCCAACAACTGCCTGTCCAAGGCCCAGCTGACTGAGGTGGTGGAGTCCATGTTCCGGGAGTCGGGCTTCCAGGACAAGGAGGAGCTCACGTGGGAGGATTTCCACTTCATGCTGCGGGACCACGACAGCGAGCTCCGTTTCACGCAGCTCTGCGTCAGAGGTGGGGGTGGAGGTACGTGAGTATGTGAGAAATGGTAGGCATCGGGGAGGGGTGTGTCTTCAAAATGAGAGTTGCTTGGGGCGCCTGGGTGGCTTAGTCGGTTAAGCGTCCGACTTTCGCTTGGGTCATGATCTCGCGGTTCGTGGGTTCGAGCCCCGCGTCGGGCTCTGTGCTGACTGCCAGCTCGGAGCCTGGAGCCTGTTTCAGTCTGTGACTCCCTCTCTCTCTGACCCTCCCCTGCTCGCGCTGTCTCTTTCTCTCTCTCCTAGAAATAAATAAAAATATTAAAAAAAAAAGAGAGAGTTGCTGGTAGATAGGACTTGGGTTATCTCTTCAAGTCTTTTGTGCCTAGTATAGAGCCAGGCACGTGTAGTCAAGGGTGTCACATACAGCTATACAATCTGTGCACTGCACAAACATGCCCAATGAGAGGTCAGGGGGTGGGCTGAAATCTACTCACGAAGCTCATGCACATTGGTCTGGCGTGTAGCTGGTCAGAGGAAGAGACATTATTTTCTTTATACAAAGGATGCAGGACTGCATCTGCCTGAAGTTGTCCCCTTTTCTAATTATGCCAAGTTAGCACCTGTTTACAATGGGTGCCCACTGTGGGCAGTGAGGGGAACAAGGCTGTAACAAGAGATGAGAACGTGACAAAGTCACTCGCAAGTGCCGTGGCAGCCTTCCTGGAGAAGAGAGGGGGGCAGGCTCCCATCGTTCTGCCCTTGTGAGGAAGCCTGTGCAGACTCTTGTTCTTCTCTCCAGGTTTTGGAGACACCTTTAAACCAAACATCGGCTGTCGAGTCTCATTCATCACTCGGACACCTGGGGAACGGTGAGCAGGAATGGAGGCATTGGCAGGTCCCCTTGGCCAGGTGCCCTGAAGAGAAATGAAGGAAGTGGGGCTGGCTAAGTCAGTCCCTGGGACCAGACATTTGCCCTCTGAAAGTAGCTCTTAGTACATAATTGATCCTGGCCCAAATTCCAGCTGCTTCCCACACCTCATGTGGCTCAGGATCCTAGCTCTCTCCCTGCCACTCCAGGACAGAATCGTTCTGTAAAACATGACCACATTGTATTCATTCATTCTACCTCGCTTCTCCTGCCTGGCTTCTCTCTGGCCAGTTTTATGGGCAGGTTCTATGGCAGGGGTGGGTCCCAGGATCCATCCCCATCCTCTGAAGTTCTGACGTGGTGATTCTTCTCCTGGCTGTAAAGATAAGGGGAGAATAAGGCCCATTTTCCCTTTCTCAGATCCTGCTCCCAGGAACTAGGGCTCCCTGCCTTAGAAGCCTCAGAGCTGGGAGGCCCTGGGCTGAAGAAGAGGTTTGGCAAAAAGTAAGTAATTTCCAGACCACCAGGCCCAAGGAACCATGGGGAGAAGTCTCAGACTCTCTGGGCCCTGCCCACCCTTCCTGGACACAAGAGGGACCATCTTGTGTCTCATTCCATACATCCCTGACCTGACGGGTGGGCCATAGAGTCAAATGATTCTTCAACATCTTCTAATCTCTCCACCCTAACCTTCAGGCAAGGGGCCTGGCACTCAGATGCAATACCAACATGGCAGTAAGGGGTCTTCTGGCTCCTGCCTGCTTTGGGCACAGCAGCGAGGCCCATTCAGGGAGCAGCAAGAGGGAAGGACAGAACACACAGGAGGAAGATGAGGTGGAGTAGGAGGGAGACAGAGGAGTGGGTGGATGGACCAAATAAAGATAAGAGGTAAAAGGTGGGGAGCGGGTAGGAGTCTATTTACTGAACGCTGTTTCCTTCATCTGTTTTGGCCAATCCTGACTTACCCTTGCCAGGTTATCAGGTCTCCTTCATGGGGTGGCATTTAGGGGAGGTCAGGGTGCCCTGGTCTCACAGCCAGCTGCCTCCCTTTGCTGCAGGACAGTGGTGCCCCCTCCCCGGCTATACACAGAAGCACTGAAGGAGAAGATGCAGCGGGGTCTCCTGGCCCAGAAGCTGCGGCAGTACAAGCGCTTTGTGGAGAACTACCTGCGGCACATCATGTGTGTGGCGGTCTTCTCCGCCATCTGTGCTGGCTTGTTTGCAGAGCGCGCCTACTGTAAGAGTTCCAGCTTGTGGGCAGTGGGAAAGCGCTAGTGGAGAGCTGTCTGGCTGCTCTTCCCACTGGAGCCCAGGCATTCTGACCCAGGCCCGGGACCCTGGCCTCTGTGCTGTGCTGATCCATCCACACCCCCTCACCAGATTATGCCTTTGCCTCACCACCCTCGGGCATCGCAGAGACCACTTTTGTGGGCATCATCCTGTCCCGGGGCACGGCCGCCAGCATCTCCTTCATGTTCTCCTACATCCTGCTCACCATGTGCCGCAACCTCATCACCTTCCTGCGAGAGACCTTCCTCAACCGCTACATACCCTTCGACGCCGCCGTGGACTTCCATCGCTGGATCGCCATGGCTGCTGTTGTCCTGGCCAGTCCGTAGCTCCTGGGCATCCTCCCCATTGTTGCAGCTCTCTGGGTCTAGCTGTGGGGGAAACAGTGAGGAGACCAGAGTTACTTAGACTCCCATCTCTCTTCCCCGTGCTCCTCTGTTCCTCAGGGTGGGAGGTAGAGTCAGCCCTGGGTGGCATCTCTAACAGAGTCTCTCTCAGTTTTGCACAGTGCTGGCCATGCAGTCAATGTCTTCATCTTCTCAGTCAGCCCCCTCAGCCTGTTGGCCTGCATCTTCCCCAACGTCTTTGTGAATGATGGGTCAGTTCTGGGGAAGGTTCCCCCATGGGACATTTGGGGCAGACCAAAGAATATAATGGAAAAGAAATAGATGACCCTCAACACTCCACTCTCACTGAATGAGAGTGAAGACCCTGCTGGGGATGCTGAGAGGTGACTTCCTTGCCCTGGAAGGAAGTGGCCATAATTAACCAAGAAAGATGTTTGGGAGATGAATTAGAATCTCTTTCCCACACGTAGCTAGCACAGAGCTTGGAATCTTAGCCTACCATTCATTCACTGAGCAAACATTTATGGAGTACATCATATGTGACCATCCAGGTACCAGAGAATAGGCATGCCAGATTCATGCAGTCATTCAGCAAATACTTGTTGAGTATTTACTACATGCCTGGCATTGTTTGAGCACAGGGATTAGAGCAGTGAGCAGACCCGGACCCTTGCCCCCATGGGACTTACAGAATGGGAACCAAGTACTCAAAGAAGCAAATAGCAGTAAGAGAGTTCAAGATAGTGCAGGAGGAAGAATTGCCAAGAAAGCAGAGGGTGAAACTGTGGGTGACTGGGCGCCATGTTCCTTGGATGGATCTCTGGCCATCTGAGTGGAGGCCCAGTAACCTCAGCAGTCAGGGCCGGCAGAAGCAGAATCACATGACAGTGTGACAGTGGGGGAGCCAGTCCTGCCCCAGCCAGAAGCTCCATATACCTTTGCCCTACAGGTCCCAGCTTCCCCAAAAGTTCTACTGGTGGTTCTTCGAGACGATCCCAGGTAGGAAGTGGGGGTATATGTGGGGCCTGGGGGTTCTATCTGAGGACCGCTGCTTGTCTTCATCTTCCCTTGAATACATATTTGTACAGTGGTCGTGATTCCCTTTCTAGTCTCCAGAACAAGCCCCAGCTGCATCCCCTGCAGGCAAGCTGTTCTGGGCACCAGGGAGTTCAGAGAAGGAGGGAAGAATGGGGGGCACGCTGTTGTATTCTCAGCCCACACTGAGGTCCTTCCCAAGAGTATTCTCTGACCCTGTTCCCACTGCCCCCAGGTATGACAGGAGTGCTCCTGCTCGTGGTCCTGGCCATCATGTACGTCTTCGCCTCCCACCACTTCCGGCGCCGTAGCTTCCGGGGCTTCTGGGTGACCCACCACTTCTACATCCTGTTCTACGTGTTGGTGAGGGATTCTCTGGGCAGGGCCTAGCCATGGGGGCAGGGATGAGCATCATAATGGGGGCAGGGAGCAGGCTTAGTTGGACCTGAGAGTGGAGATCCCAGCCTCTGAGGTCAATAGCAGCTTTATCTACCCAGCCCCGGCCCTGGGCCTGGGCAGGAAGTGTCTGGACAAGAGAAGGTGCAGGGAGGGTCCTGGGTGGGCCTGAGCTGTACTAACTGGTCACATCTCCAGCTCATCATCCATGGCAGCTTCAGCCTGATCCAGCTGCCCCGTTTCCACATCTACTTCCTGGTCCCGGCACTAATCTATGGGGGGGACAAGTTGGTGAGCCTGAGCCGGAAGAAGGTGGAGATCAGCGTGGTAAAGGCGGATCTGCTACCTTCAGGTACCAGGCCTAACCTGACCCCAGGTGGGGGGCATTGGAGTTGACTCATGTAGATACAGCTCCCCAGGCCTCCCGACCCCCATCAGGGCTTTTGATAATCTGTTGGGGACCCCTGCAGCTTTCCTGATACAAATAGAGCCCCAGAAAGGGCTGTGTTGTCCCCAGGAGGACTTGGAAACGATGAGACGTGACCATGAGAAGAGGCAGCTAAAAGACATTTAAGGGCAAAACAGACGCCCCTGTGTGTGGTCTGGGTGCTGAACAGGGAACCATATATACCCCCTGCCATCCCTTAGCCCCCCTTCAGATGAGCAATTGGCTTAGATTTTGAAAGTCTATTTTTTTTTAGAGTTTATTTAGAGAAAGAGAGAGAGAGAGAGAGAGCATGAGTAGGGGAGGGGCAGGGAGAGAGGGAGAGAAAGAATCCCAAGCAGGGTCTGCGCTGACAGTGTGGGACTCGAACCCACGAACCACGAGATCAAGAGTTGGTCTCTGATCGATTGACTAACTGACTGAGCTACCCAGGTAGCCCCTCGAGAGTCTATTTTTGAGAGTTTATGTTAGCCAAAGTGAGGATTCATACCACTGTAGAGGCTAGCAGAAGATGATTTTAGGTGTTGTGGGACCATCTAATCTTCAGGACTAACACAGTAAGAAAATTAATCTCATTTCACCTTTATGTCCATTGAGATTACTTAAGGACAAAACCTCAGCGTGTTATTACTATGCTTTTTGCACTCTCCGGTACTTGCAAATCAATTTTTTTTTTTAAACAAAGAAAGAATAAGCCTGAGGCTCAGCTGTGGTCTAGCACACCAAACACTATCCAACTAAAATTTGATAAAATATGGTGCCTTCTTTTACAATATATGGTACTGGTTTTCCACCCATCTGAGTGATCCAAAGTTTTTCAAGGTAAATCATATTGAAAAAGTAAGTCAACTTAAAGAAAAACATTAGATAAACAATAGTGCAGAGGTGTGCAGAAATGGCCCATCCAAAGGTAATTCATACATGGTGGAGGTTTGGTAAACACTGAGATGGTCCCTGGGGTAAACAGGTCTTTTGACCTGTAGGCCAATATTCAGGATAGTAGTATAGGGGCCTGAATGTTTTGTGGGAATAAGGAGTGGAGAGGAGAGTAGCTGAAACCAGGAGCAGAGAAACCTAACTCTGCTTAGGTTTCTAACTTAACCCCGGAAAGAGAGAGAGGGGACCCTCTGACTCCCACCCCCAGGAGCTCCTCAAACCATATGCTCACTCCCTGTTTCAAGTGTGTGGAGAAGACAGGGCATCTGGAGTATCTGCCAGTCCTCAGGCAGAAGCAAGCCTTCTGATCCCTGCCCTTGCCTGCCCATGACCCCCAGGAGTGACCCACCTGCGATTCCAGCGGCCCCAAGGCTTTGAGTACAAGTCAGGACAGTGGGTGCGGATCGCCTGTCTGACTCTGGGGACCAACGAGTATCACCCATTCACACTGACTTCTGCACCCCACGAAGACACGCTCAGCCTGCACATCCGGGCAGTGGGGCCCTGGACCACTCGCCTCAGGGAGATCTACTCACCTCCAGTGGGTGACGGCTGTGCCAGATACCCAAAGGTGCTTGCCACTGGGAACCACTTTCGGGTCTCCAGCACTGGCAAAGGGTCCCTACTCTCCCCTACCCTGAGACTAGAAGCTCCAGCCAGCACAAGGTTAGGCTGGGTTCCCTGAGAAGAGGCTATGTTGCTCCCATATCCCTCTTCTTCCTGCCTAAACCCATTTCTAACCTCAGAGCTGGGGCCAGGCCAGGCTCATCTCTTCTTCTTCGGTTGGCAGCTGTACCTCGATGGACCATTTGGAGAGGGCCACCAGGAGTGGCATAAGTTTGAGGTGTCAGTGCTGGTGGGAGGGGGCATTGGGGTCACGCCCTTTGCCTCCATCCTCAAAGACCTGGTCTTCAAGTCATCATTGGGCAGCCAAATGCTCTGTAAGAAGGTGAGTGTCTCTCTTCCATTCTTAGAAAGAATGGGGACAGACTGCCTGAATGTGTCCCCACATCACAGTGGAGTAATATGGGGAAAAGCCCCTGGCCCCTAGGCACTGAGTCTGCTGGGGCTGTTCATACACAGCTGTCCACATGCTCAACATTTGAGGGAGGGTAGGATGTATAGACAGAAAGATCTCTGCTGGGGTCTATTGGTTAAAAGCTTTACATCAGGTTTGTGGGGCTGCCAGAGATTTGGAGTCTGTGGGTGGTCTGAGGCTTTCCAGCCTCTCAGGTGAAGGCATCTGGGGTGGAAGAAACTTGAGTTGAGCTGAGTCCTGAGCTCCAGCAATGCATCCCCAGATCTACTTCATCTGGGTGACACGGACCCAGCGGCAGTTTGAGTGGCTGGCTGACATCATCCGGGAGGTGGAGGAGAATGACTGCCAGGACCTGGTGTCCGTGCACATCTACATCACCCAGCTGGCTGAGAAGTTTGACCTCAGGACCACCATGCTGGTAGGCCAGGGCCGGCCAGGCAGGGTGGGTATGTGGGCCACCATCTAGACTAAGAGCCGCCCCTGGCTGTGTGTGGCTGTGACATTCCTCCTCTCCTCCCTCTCCCAGTACATCTGTGAGCGGCACTTCCAGAAGGTGCTGAACCGGAGTCTGTTCACGGGCCTGCGCTCCATCACCCACTTTGGCCGCCCCCCCTTTGAGCTCTTCTTCAAGTCCCTGCAGGAGGTCCACCCCCAGGTCAGTCCCATCCCCACCTGTCCTGAGACCCTGGCCTTCCCCTGTCAGGATATCCTAGCCCTCAAGCTCCCTAAAGCTATAATCTGAGTGGAGAACCATCCCACGCTAGCCCCACAATGGGGTCAAGTGTTGGAGGAAGCCTTCAAACCTCCACACCCCTGACTGCTCCTAGCTCAAGCCTCCTCCTCAGAGCTGGGGGTCAATGCCTTGGTCATTCCAGCAAGCTTGAGAAGCAGCTTCCTCCTAAGGGGTGATAATCTTAAGACTGCAGGCCTCTCCTCTCTATAGTCACTCCCTGCAACACACTTGACAGGTACGGAAGATTGGGGTGTTCAGCTGTGGCCCTCCAGGAATGACCAAGAATGTAGAGAAGGCCTGTCAGCTCATCAACAGGCAGGACCAGGCCCACTTCATGCATCACTATGAAAACTTCTGAGAACCTCTTAGAAATTCCTGGTTCCTGTTTCCCCTCTGTGGACCAGCCCTGCCAGCAGTTCCTGTTAGAATCCACCACGGGCCTCAGCTAGAAACCTGAAAGAGCTCCTCCCTCATGGCCCCATCTGTCCTATGCTCTGACAAGGTAGAGAAGAACCCTCCAGCTCAAGCCACAGCAGTTTATGGCAAACAAAGTAGAGTGGGGAGAGCCATTGCCTTGTGACATCTGTAGAGATCAAGAGATACAATATCATTTGCCTCTCATAGGTCCCCATGTCTCTGTTTTCCTTGCACAAAACCAGTGTATTGCTTTGTTATCTTCTTGGCTTAGGCATTTGAGGGATGGTGGAGTGGGGATAATCAATGTGAAGAGAGGCCTAGGTGAGAATCTCCTCAGAGCCCGGTTCAGAAGCCATGGTGCTTGGAATTTGGATGATCGAACTGTCTCTATTCAGTCTCTGAGGCCTTGTCCCTCCAGCTCCACCCCTGACCCTTTCTTGCTCCTAAAGGGTCAGGAACAGTTAAGAATAATCAGGGAACAAAGATGTCTACCTAGTCCTAGTCCCAGCGTTCCTGCAGTCAACCAGCAATGCCTGCTGCTATGATCCTTCCGTGGCCCTTTTCTGAGCCTGTGAAGCAGCACCTGGGCTCTGAGACCAAGGGAATCCAACCTGTCTGCCAGACATCCAAAGCTCCCTCTCAGTTCCCCACTCCCACAAGAGTGGGTGACCAGCTGTCCTGGTTTGCTCAGGACTCTCCCAGTTTTGCCACTGATAGTCTTTTGTCCCATGAAACCGCTCAATCCCAGGCCAATCAGACAAAGCTGGTCATCTTACACAGGAGGCAACCTGGGATGTCACCTCCATACGAGGCTTTTTAAGGCATTTCTTTTCCTTCTGCAACTGACACTTTCCTAAAAAGCTGAGCTTTAATTATTTTTAAAAATTTAAGTATAATTTGCATATAGCAAAGTATATAAATCTTAAAGTTATACATACATGTGTTCACACTAACCAAGTCAAGATATAGGACATTTCCACCACCTCAGAAACTTCCCTTGTGCCCCTTCCCAGTCAGTCTCCCCCAACCAGTGGAAGCAATCACTGGTGTGATTTCTGTCACTTTAGATTAGTTTTGGTCATACTGAAGCTACCCTTTGGAAACCGGCTTCTTTCGGTACAATGTCACTGTGATCCATCCATGTTGTTGTATGTATTAGTAGTTTATTCATTTTCATTGCTGAGTTGTATTTCACTGTAGAGATATACCAAATGTTTATCCATTTTCCTATTGATGCACACTTGGGTTGTTTCTAGTTTTTGATAATTCTGAATAAATCTTCAATGAACATTCTTGTACCTGTCTTTGGTGGACATAATGCACTCATTCCTTTTGGGTATATATCTAGGGTGGAATTGCTGGGTCACAGAGTTCTCCAGCCAATTAAACCCGTGGCAGGGAGAGTTTCTGCCCATCTCCACATCCCTGCCCCAGGCTCATCTCCTCATTGGTCCCACCCAAACTCTTCTGTCAAGCCAAGTGCCTTTGGCTCTCAACCCTCTATATTGAAGGAAACTCTCTGACAAAACTGGAAGAATGCTGGATCAGAGACCTGGATTCTGGTGCCAATTTTACTCCTAAGTAGTTACAGAGGAAAATCCTTTGACTTCTCTGAGCCTACTTCCTCATGTATACCACCCTCTGTATGGGTATTAGGAAGTCAGATAGTAATACTGGCGCAGAAAATGCTACAGATGAGAAATGTATATGTTGTGCAGCAGTCTCAGCCTATTGATAATCAGTGCTGTAGCTGATCAGCCCTTGTGGGTTCTTCTTATGATTACATGACACTCTCAGCAATCCATCAGGAGACTTCAAAAGATATGAGGTGTATTACTTATATGCAATGGAAATTACACAGCATACCTGGGGCCACACAATGAGGTCATGGCTCAGGCTTGGGCTTCTGCTTCTATTGAGGTAGAGGGTGGGTGCGTAGGGTTTTGCAGGCTCACTCTTTATTGGTGAGTTTAAAATAAAAGAGTGGAACGGGTGCCTGCCTGGCTGGGTCAGTGGATGGAGTATATGACCCTTGATCTCATGGTTGTGAGTTTAAGACCCATGTTAGGTATAGAGATTACTTACAAATAAAATATTTTTTAAAACCCATAAGAGTGGGAATTGAGAGTACAGGAAAACAAGAAACAAGCAGCTCAAATGGTCAGTTATCAAACAAAATCAAGCAAGATTTCTAAAACAATGGAGCCTAGAGTGGTGAGGGGGACGGGGTGCAGTGCAGCCTACCTCTTAATCTAGTCTTGTAACTGAAAATGTGTTTATTCAAGATAGCCATCTTTTAAGAAAGTGCCTCTTCCCCCACCCCTTTATTTATTGAGAAATAATGAGCATATATTACTGTATAAGTTTAAGGAGTATAATAGCGTAATGGTTTGATTTACATATATTGTGAAGTGATTACTACAATAGCTTCAGCCTAACATTCAGCACCTCATATAACTACGATAAAAAGAAAAGAAGAAAAGAAAAAATTATTTTTTTTCTCCTGGTGATGAGAACTCTTAGGATTTACTCTCTTCACATTCTTCCTATAGATCATTCATCGGTGTTAGCTATAGTCATGTTGTACATTACATCCCTGGTACTTACTCATCTTATAACTGGAAGTTTGTACCTTTTGATCACCTTCCTCCAATTCCCTCTCCCCACCTACACCTCTGGTAATCATAAGTCTGATCTTCTTTTCTATGAGTTGGTTTGCTTTTTTTTGGTATTCCATATGTAGGTGAGATCATACAGTACTTTTCTTTCTCTGTGTGACTTATTTCACTTGGCATAATGCCTTCAAGCTCCATCCATGTTATTATCACAAATGGTAGGACTTCCTCCTTTTTTATGACTGAATAATATTACACACACACACACACACACACAGCACAACTTCCTTATCCATTTATCCACTGATGGACTCTTGTGTTGTTTTTATGTCTTGGCTAATGTAAATAATGCTTCTATAAACATGAAAGTGCAGATACTTTTTCTTTTACATATATTTAAAATTTTTTTAATATTTTTTTTTGAGACAGAGAGAGAGGGAGACAGAGACAGAGGCAGAGACAGAACACAAGCAGGAGAGGGGCAGAGAGGGGGGGAGACACAGAGTCCTGAGCAGGCTTTAGGCTCTGAGCTGACAGCACAGAGCCCAACACGGGATTCGAACCCACAAATTGTGAGATCATGACCTGAGCTGAATTTAGATGCTTAATCCACTGAGCCACCCAGTTGCCCCAACAAATGTCTTTTCATGTTAGTGTTTTTGTTTCCTTTAGATATATTCCCAGGAGGGGAATTGCTAGATTATATGGTAGTTTTATGTTTAATTTTTTGAGCATCTTCCATACTGTTTTCCACAGTGGCTGCACCAAATTACAATCCCACCAACAGTGCACAAGGGCTCATTTTCTCTGCAGCCATGCCAGCATTTACTATCTCTTATCTTTTTGATGACAGTCATTCTAACAGGCGTGAGGTTTTAGTTTGCTTTTCCTTAATGACTCGTGATATTGAGAATCTTTTCATGTACCTATTAATCTTTTGTAGGTCTTCTTTGGTCCTTTGACCATTTTTTAATGCCTCAGCAATCAAAAGTTAAGTCAGGCACTTGCGTTAAAAAGAAAAAAGAAAAGGAAGAAGGGAGGGAGGGAGGAAGGAAGGAAGGAAGGTAGATCAGGGCTTGCACTATAATATGAGAATATATATTTGCAATATATGGTGATTATTAATCTACCTATTTATTAGCATCATGCTTATGGGCCTCCAGCCCTCTTGCTCCTTACCAGGTACACAACCAGTTATTAATCCTGAACTCTAGTCCCTTAGCTTATTCCCAAATCTTGCCCATCAGTGCCTGCCTAATTCCTTTCTTAAGACTGTCCAAGTATTTATCTGCCCCAGCCTAACTCACCTCTTCTTGCTAGACTAGAGACTGTTGTTGATATGGCTGTCATGATTATCCATAACATTCTCTACTCGGTCCTACCCCTACCTGCCATGCTAGGGTCTGAGGATCTCCTGAAGACTCCATGATCACTCTTGCCCAGACACCAAACCATGTCAAGTACATGTCCAGCTGGACACAGGGATATGCCCTCATGATCTTGAATAGCCTCGGGTGACAGCCTGACTCCCTGCTCCAGCCATGTTCTAGATGTTAACCCTGTGCATATATTCACATGATCTAGTTACTCAATCTAGCCTTGCCCAGATTCCCAGGAAGCCATTTGTTGCTGGGATAAGAGTAGGGCCTCCTGGGATAGATAAGCCAGGAATAGGCAGCAACCAAGAATGTGTCTTTGCATTGAGAAAAATGAGGTCAGTGACTACACAAGAGGATGTAGGGGAGAGGATAGACTCTGGAAAATTGTGTAAATGAGGAAGGCCATGAAAAGTACCTCAGAAAAAGAGGGCTGTGGAAGGGTGACTTAGAGGAAATTCATGGAAATGTTAATACTAATAGTGTAAAAGAGAACAAACCTTCTCTATGTCAGGTCACAGATGTTGATCTCAGGCCTGGAGACAAAGACCAACCCAAAGTCTGCCTTGAAGAGATAGAGTTGAGGATGAGAATGGAACAAGGATAGAGAAGGAATCAGGTGAGATTGGATGGCAATGGGATTGGGGATGGAGAAGATGAGGATGAGGATGAGATTGGATGGAAGAGATTTGGGGTCAGGTGGAAGAGAGTGGACAAGGATGAGGAGGTGCTAAGGCTGAGCTCTGTAGGAGAGTAATGAAGGCTAGCTCTTTGCCTCTTTTTCCCACTTTCCAGACTGAACTTCTGCCGCAGTTGAGAGAGGAGAAAGTTGACAAGATGTGGAAAACTTCCTACTCATTTGCTAAGGATTTTCAAGTAAGTGGAGCCAATCTAGAGAAGTAGTTAAAAGTAAGGGCCCCTTGAGTCAAATTGAGTTTAAGACCCAGCTG